ATCTTCTTTCGTGTACCGATCTTTTGGATACCGGAAATTTATCCATCGAAATTCTTCCAAATAAGTCACCAGCGAGTGCAAATAGGCACAGGCAGGCACTATTCTCAGCTTTTCCAGGAAGATTACCTGACTAGGGAATTTTGCCCAGTTACAACGCGTCAACCGTCCCTCTGATCATTGCCTTTTAATAAGCGATTTACTCGCGAAGTGACAGGCAGTGATGAGACAACGCGTTGCTCAGATATCCAAACGAAACTTCCGGAACAGCAGGCTCGGGACACAACTCTCCAAAATCACAACAAGTTCAGAACAATTTCCCGTCGTTCCACATAACATACACCACATCGATCGTCCTTTGAAACGTTAGCACCAAGGGTGGTCGTCACCAGCTTGCATACTTCGAAAGCGGGCTCGAGTGCCTGCACCTTGGTTAAACTCGTAAAGTAATGTTCCACAATTGAGTTGAGATACAGGAAGCCATTCTGGATCGTCATAACTCTTCCACTTGACAAGGTACTCCCGACGCCTTTTGGATGTTCGAGTTTTCTTAGACCAGCGAAGATCCAAAATCTTCTCAACTTCATACTCATCGTTTTGGGCATCGGCTTCCCAACTGTCTTCTGGGAGTAACGCAGCATCAAAATCATCTTCTTCATCCACATCCACAATGACTGTCGGTCGTTTTGGAAACAAAGCTCTTGGTTTCAGACGACTGATGTAGGGACGATGTCTTCCAAATGGTCACGAAGACTTCCAAGGAGGTCACCAAGGCATCACCAGGACCCATAAGGGGTTATGTTCAGAATTCTATTGGCCTGGCATGTATGCGGATGTAGAACACTTTGTGAAGGAATGCGTTGATTGTGCGAGTGGAAAAGGAAAACCTTCAAACGCTGGACCATCGCCCGAGAATATCGAACCCCGACAACCTTTTGAAGTGGTTTCAATGGACTTCGTGACGCACATGCCGAAGTCCGACCGAGGGAATACGTTTTTGCTACTATTCCAAGATATGTTTTCTGGATATGTGATGTGCAAACCGATGCATTCAACCACCGCTCAGGATGTCGCGGAAGCTTACGAGGAACGTGTATTCCGGAATTTTGGAGCGAGTTCAATGATTCGGCACGATCAAGATCCCTGTTTTATGAGCGAGGTGTTTACTCGCTTTCGGGAACTCTTGAATAGTCGTCCGAGAGCCACTTTGGGATACCGACCTCAAGCAAACGGACAACAGGAACGATCTGTCCAAACGGTTGTCAGGAGTATTCGCGCCTACATCGAGCAGGCCGACCTGAGCGACTGGGACGACCATGCGGAAAGGTTGACATTTGCTCTAAATACGTCGTTCGACCCGACACGTTTAGACACTCCTTTCTACTTGGTCCACGGTTAGGACCCACAGAGCACTCTGAAAGCGATGTTAGGCCCGATGTCATCCAGCGTAACTGCTTATGAGTGGAGACGAAAAGTTCAGAGAGACTATGGCTACGCGAAAGCGTGCGCCGAGGACTTGCAGAACAAAGCCCGACGGCATCGTTCCGATCTCCAAACGCAAAAGTGGAAGGAATTGTCCGAACGCCTGAAGTCAGGTTTCCGGAAAGGAGACGCCGTATGGTTGTATATTCCGAAGGTGCAGACTGGATTAAGTAAGAAGTTGGCGCACTTATGGCATGGACCTTTTCGAATTAACGAAGTATTATATGATTTCAGGATGAAGCTGAAAGTTGACAGTACCGGTTACCGAGTTAATCCGTGGGTT